CAGGAAATCCAGAAGCAGCATAGCTGTCACATCTGCCAGAGGCTCCAGATTCAACATCTGTGCAAGCCAGCGCCACCCATAGCTCAGACCATGAGGATGTGCCTACCAAGCAACAAAGAAGCTACTCAGCACTTGCTTTATGACTTGTAAAACACAATTATCAAAACAGTTTTCTGACTGACTTTCCTCTTTATAAAACTTGATCACCGTGACAACATAAAGGAAGTAAAAGTCCACACCATAAATGACTTGGTATTGCTTTGTTCATAATGGTTATGACAATTTTCCTTCAAATATATCCTGAGCTACTTTAAATTCAGCACACCTCAACCACAAAACAAGCTTCCAATACATTTAATAGACTCCTGGGATAGTAACAAGGTCCTAAGTATAATGCTACACACATACCCCTTGTTTGTTTCCATAGGGCCAGCGGAGCTGAATGATGGCAGCATAGAGACGAATCATTCCTGACACTGCAGTGATTTCCTGCTGCATGCTGGATATCAACCCTCGCATCTCCTGCAGCGCTCGTTCAGTGCTGGCCACATCTGCTTGAGTTGGGAACCCTCTCTGCCAAGAAACATGAGAGGTAACACAGCATTAACCTTTGGTTCCACTGTCAGAGGGCCATCAGCAAGCACAAGGAGCCTCTGAAGCATTTGCCTTCAGATAATCTGGGAGCTAACTATGTATTTTAACCCCATCTCATTTATTTGTACATAACATTGATCATAATATTGGTAAATAATGCGAGTCCATGACTAAATCTCCTAAGATCTTGGACAACAAAAGTCAAGAATACACTTGGAGAAGTGCAAGTGAACTCCAGTGCAAAGCCTGGACAGCTCCCTCTGCTGAAAGCCAGCTGTGACAAGCTGGAACACAGGATTAGCCCTATTAGCGCTTTATCTTTCAAGACTTGTATCCCATCCTAGAAAGAAAAAATGTCAAGGAAAGCCAGCTACTGCAGAAATGCTCATGAGGAGAGGAGAATCATAAGATGTTCAGTATTTAACAATTCATGAACCAGCCCACTGTCACAGAGGGAACTTTACAGCACCAAGAGTTTACAGCAATTTAAATTGAATCTTTCTCCTGTAGAAGTTCTCATGCATTTTGATAAGCCATTTTCAAGAGAAGAGCTGAAGTGCCAGAGGAAAGAATTCCCCTTTGAAACTGGGTGTTTCATAGGATGAATATCTAACATTGCTGTGACATCTTATTTAAGGGCCTCATGACAAGCTGCCTTTGAAGACAACTACAGGGAGCTTTATGAAGGAATGAGAGCCCAAGTTCACAACTCCAGGGCACGTACCTCGCTCGTGGTGCGGATGAGCCCTGACACCAGTCCACAGATCTGGTTGCCACGGTTGCTGTATGCAGACAGATCGATTCTGGGCAAGTCTTTGTGCCTGTAGTTGGGATCAATCTGCTGGTTCAGCTGCAGCAGTTCCTCCTGGATGGAATAAAGGCGACGCAGCCTCTCCTGGCCCTCCTCCTTGCGCAAACGTTCCAGCTCTTCCTGGCGCTGCCTCTGCTGCTCTGCCTCACGCAATTTTAGGTTCAATATCTGGGGAGACAAAGACACAAGAGTCATAAAATACCTCAGTAACTCCAGTTGTATCTTCCTGGTCTGATGGCTCCAGCTTTACAGGGCCTTCCTGTTCCTAGGACATAAGTGCCTTTAATGCATTTCCATACTGCAGCAGGTGCCCAGGACAGCACCAGAAAATCCATGCCCACTTCAGAGTGTTGTGAAAATACAAATAAATCAATTGGTCTTTCCAGTTCCCACCCAGAAGTCATGGTCTTTCATAAAAGACAATTCTTAAGAGTCTCAGACCTTTGCTCTATGTCGGTGTTCTTCCTTCAACTTCTCTTGCTGCCCCTGAGCCTCCTTTGAGCTACAATACACATAAAGACAGAAAAACTGTATTCAAGACATTCAGGAGACAAAACACAAACCAACACACAGGAAACTATTAGAACAAGCTGCAGGAACTTTAGCTATCACAAATGTTGCCTTTTTCTAACCACTGAAACCTCAACAATACCCAGACATCTACTCTGACAGCCAAACTCTAACAGGATAGTTAATGTAAGACAAACAGCAGGTGAAATTTCCAACCACAAGTGACTAGTATACAATTGTCAGGAAGAGGAATTAAACTTCATTTTGATTAAATGCTATAAAATTGTAGTGATACCAGAGGTAATCTCACCTCTTCTCCATTACTTCTTGCAACTCTTGGAATTCCTGATGCCGCTTCAGCTCCCTCAGTTCATCAAAGCGCTTCAGCTGCTCACTGGCCTGGGCATAGGCTGCCCTCACCATCTGCTCCTGCTCCTCCTGCCGCTGTCTCAGCCTCTCCTGCATCACAGAGGGGCACCAAAGCTAGTCACTGAACAATGTGGACAGAAGAAAATACAAATTAAACTGCCCAAAGTTTATAACTCGCTGTCCTTGCACTGTTATCTCTGACTGTGGAGCTCTCCTGGGATTCACACACACAACCTCAATCATTTTTTCTTACCTTTGCTTTCAGCCTGTGCATCTCTTCATAC